CCCCCCCGAGAACTTCTGTGAATGCTTATCAGAGCTGTATCGGCTGACACCAACATCTTATCAGGGTTATGGCGCTATCTGGAAGTGCTTCATGGACAAATCTCACTTTCTTGTCATCAAATGTATATGTAATGTGTCTATAAATGTGCTTGCTGGTAGTTTTTTGATGTCTTAAATTGTGTCCTGATAAAGATAAGGTGTGAAGTGATCTTTTTTGTAATGCCACTATCCTATCCTCATGGCCTTTTCCCCTTTTCTGTCTAAAAGAATAAGGGGCCGCGCTCTTAGGAGCAGCAGCAATGTGCACGCCACCCATCTTTCAGACAACTGTACGAACATAATCTCACTGTATTTTTGGTGCAATGACAATAAAGCTTATTCTGATTCTAATACAAAAAAACTAAATATCAATTAATATTGCCAGCATACGTTATCTAGAGTTGGACAGGTTTTTGTTATTTTAATTAGCGAGTTATATTTATTTTAACCCTGTGAATGACCTTGCTGTTTTTAAAATATCTTCGTATGAAAAAATACAAACTGACACTTGTATTATTTTTATATGCAGAATAATCAGTATGCATTTGTTTTGTTTAGAATAAAGTAATATTTTCCATCTTTGTAGAATTGGATTATAAATAGTTATTCTGGATGAGTAAAAAGTAAGCCCTTATTAATTTAGGAGACTTTATTTTATGTTTTATTAGCTTTTTTTGTTTTCCACTTGTATAGTTTTCACTCACTGCTGGTGCTTTTTTCTCAGACAGAGACTGAAACACAGAATGAATTGGACTATAACTACCCACCAGAGGACTTGTACGAAGAGGAGAAAGTTGAAGAGGAGGAGGAAGCAGCAGAAGAGCATGTAGAGGAGGAAGGAGAAGAGCATGTAGAGGAGGAGGAAGAAGTAGTAGAGCATGTAGAAGAAGAGGAAGAGGAGCTGCCACTAAAACCCCAACTTGTCCCGCAGGGTTCTGGGGGCTCTGGTGTTCTCATGGGCCCAGAAACACAAAAAGGTCTGAAAAAGCACAAAAACTTTTATCTGCACGTTTAAAATCAGAATGTTACTTGATAAAGAAGTGCAGTTTGAGGGAGGGCCTTGCCTTTCTTTTAGCTTGTGGAGTTGTGAAAGCAGATTTAGTACCAAAAACACCACGTGTCTTCTAAACCCATCTTTAATAAGCATGTCATCCATTTACCAGTGAGTGGTTAAATGTGTTGTGTTCACTGTGTCTGCCCTAACCTGATCATCAATGTCCCAAACCTGATTAATGATCTGTTTCAGTCTCTTCTATCTGTTTATCACTACCTCATCTTGTCTCTAACAAGAGGTGGAGCTGCGTCGGATGTCTGTTGATACTCTTCATGTCTCCGGGGATTTTGGAGGTTCTGTGGGATCAGGAGCTTCAGGCGCTTCGGGAGCCTCAGAAGCTTCAGGAGCTTCAGGAGACTCGGGAGCTTCAGGAGACTCAGGAGCTTCAGGAGCCTCAGGAGCTTCAGGAGACTCGGGATTTTCTGGGGCATCAGGAGCTTCAGGAGACTCGGGATTTTCTGGGGCATCAGGAGCTTCAGGAGACTCAGGATTTTCTGGGGCATCAGGAGCTTCCAGTGCCTCTGGGTCTGAAAGCTCGGGAGACATACTGGTTTCTGGAGCCTCTGGGAGCTCAGGTGATATTATCCTGGTGTCCGGAGCCTCAGAAGAGCTGATCAGTTCTGGTGGATCTGGGGAATTCTTGTTATCTGGCGATATCCTGATATCCGGGGATTTTCCAGGATCTGGCTATACCATCGGATCAGGATCTGGAGATATAATTGGCTCAGGATCTGGAGATATAATTGGCTCAGGATCTGGAGATATATTTGGCTCAGGATCTGGAGATATAATTGGCTCAGGATCTGGAGATACCACTGAATTGGGTATTTCTGGATTTTCCGGAGATGCTACATCTGGAGAATATGGGATTGTCACTGAACTCCCCATTGGCTCTGGTGGATCCGGTGACCAGTCTGGTTCTGGGATTTCTGGAGATCTTTTGATCTCAGGGGGCTCTGGAATCTCTGGGGTTTCTGGAGACTTGACTGAGTCTGGTCAATCAGGGATAACGTTAATATCTGGAGGTTAGTACCCCAACAAAGCTTTTAGTAAAGCTTGAGATCTTCTTTTTCTGTCAATAACTTACTTTACTGTGTGATTTTTGTCTTAAATTCCATTTAACTTAAAATTTGGTTAAATGTTGATAATCATTTGTGCTACATAATGTTGTATTTGTGTTCTCATAATTCTAACATCCTATCTCATCTAAAATGTGTGATTCTCTTAACCTTTCACCTCCTAACACTGACCCTCGGCTCTAACAAGAGGATGAGCTGACCCTCGATCCTGAAACTCATCCCCAAGAAGTATCGGGTGTTTCTGAGGAGATCTCTGGAGCTTCGGGGACCTATGGGGCTTCAGGGGATATTGATACCTCTGGAGGTTTAGAGGTTTCTGGAACCTCTGGGACTTCTAGTGTCTCTAGTTCTGGAGACATTGATGTCCCTGAAGTAGTAACTCTTCTCCCTGAGCCTGATGAAGGTCAGTATTGAATTTGGAAGTTTGTGTGGCACATTAAAGGCAGGGCACACAGTAAGTTGTGAGGTTAATTCAGTTGCACTATTGCCCCTCCAGTGACTTCAAAGTGTCTGCTTATGGTTCATAAATGTGCACAAAAAACAGACTCAAGAAATATAAAATGGCATCTTGGGTGAGGTTGAGATCATAAGTACTTGTACAGGTGCTGATCATAAAATTAGAATATCATGAAAAAGTTGATTTATTTCAGTAATTCCGTTCAAAAAATGAAACTTGTAAATCATATTAATTTATTACACACAGACTGATACATTTCAAATGTTTATTTATTTTCATGTTGATGATTATAACTGACAACTAATGAAAACCCCAAATTCTGTATCTCAGAAAATTAGAATATTACTTAAGACCAATAAAAAAGGGATTTTAGAAATGTTGGCCAAATGAAAAGTATGAACATGAAAAGAATGAGCATGTACAGAACTCAATACTTAGTTGTTGCTCCTTTTGCCTGGATTACTGCAGCAATGCGGCGTGGCATGGAGTCGATCAGAGTGTGGCACTGCTCAGGTGCTATCAGAGCCCAGGTTGCTCTGATAGTGGCCTTCAGCTCTTCTGTGTATCACATCTACCTCTTCACAATACCCCATAGATTTTCCATGGGGTTAAGGTCAGGTGAATTTGCTGGCCAATTAAGAACAGGGATACCTTTTCCTTAAACCAGGTACTGGTAGCTTTGGCACTGTGTGGAGGTGCCAAGTCCTGTTGGAAAATGAAATCTGCATCTCCATAAAGTTAGTCAGCAAAAGGAAGCATGAAGTGCTCTAAAACTTTCCTGGTAGACGGCTGTGTTGACCTTGGACCTCAGAAAACACAATGGACCAACACCAGCAGATGACATGGCACCCCAAACCTTCACTGACTGTGGAAACTTGACACTGCACCTCAAGCAACATGGATTCTGTGCCTCTCCTCGCTTCCTCCAGACTCTGGGACCTCGATTTCCAAAGGAAATGCAACATCTACTTTCATCGGAGAACTTAACTTAGGACCACTAAGCAGCAGTCCAGTCATTTTTGTTTTTAGCCCAGGTGAACCACTTCTGATGCTGTCTCTTGTTCAAGAGTGGCTTGGCACAAGGAATGGGACAGCTGAAAGCCCATGTCTTGCAGACATCTGTGCGTGGTGGTTCTTGAAGCACTGACTCCAGCTGAAGTCCACTCTTCATAAATCTTCCTCCCATTTTGGAATGAGTTTTGTTTCACAATCATTCAAAATTGGTTGTACACTTTTTTTCTACATCTTTTTCTTCCCTTCGCCTCTCTATTAATGTGCTTGGACACAGAGCTCTGTGAACAGCCAGCCTCTTTAGCAATAACCTTTTGTGTCTTGCCCTTCTTGTGCGAGGTGTCAATGGTTGTCTTTTAGACAACTATCAAGTCAACAGTCTTCCCCATGATTGTGTAGCCTACAGAAGTAGACTGAGACCATTTAAAGGCCTTTGCAAGTGTTTAGAGTTAATTAGCTGATTCGAGTGTGGCACCAGGTGTCTTCAATATTGAACCTTTTCCCAATCTTCTAATTTTCTGAAATACTGAATTTGAGGTTTTCATTAGTTGACAGTTATAATCAGCAACATTAAAATAAATAAACATTTGAAATATATCATTATGTGTGTAATGATTGAATATACAAGTTCACTTTTTGAATGGAATTACTGAAATAAATAAACTTTTTCATGATATTCTAATTTTATGACCAGCACCTGTACATGTATGTTTCTGAGCACAAAACCAAGACTATATCACTCTCTATTGAGTGAATTGTTTCCCACTTCTTCAGTGGAGGATGAGCTCCAACTGATTAAAACTGGACTGCAGACAAATGGCTTGAGCCTATTTAAATTAACGACGATGCCGACTTTAGTTGATCTGCCATCTGCATTTAAAGTCAGGCACTGAACTTTGCTATTGGTGTATTTAATAAAAAGAATGAACTGGCAAAACAATGACGAGAAGGTAGAAGTCTGAAATGGTATGACAAGCATGAAACTAAGATAAAGTGTGTAAATTAGATAACTGTGATTTTTTTTTAATTTTTTAGAAATGTCCATCTCATACCAAAAATATGTTGTGAATTTAAGTCACACATGAAGGCTGCAGCAACCTCTTGAACTTGCTTCACTGTACTTTTAAATATTGTGTTTTTTCTAACCCCACTACAAATATTGTGTTAATAACACCATCAAGTCGTTTCCCTTTAACCTATATTCATAAATGCAAAAACGTAATATGGTTAACAGTGGGCTGCTGACAGCCAGACTTCCTGTCCTGTGTCCATGTCGGTCTAACCTCTAACACCTAATCTTGTCTCTAACAAGAGGAGGAGCTGCTTCCAACCCCAACACAACCCTCTCAGGAGGGGAAAACCAGTATAGAGGAGACAGTGAGCTCTGGTGAGCCAGAGGAGCCTGATGAGGAAGTGGTTGACGCAAAAGGTCAGTACTGAGCAGTCACCGGTTCAGTGTGATTTTAAATTTAAAAAATCCAGTTCTCTTTGAAAAGCTAGAATCCTGAATTCAGAGTCCTATTTTTGCATTTAATTTGTTGCAAAACGTAAGACACTGCGTGGATAGAACACAGGACCTATGAAATCAAGGTGGTCAAAGACCATCCAATGAAAAAATTAACCCAAGCCAACGAGTTCAAGGAAAAAGTAAGGTTTAACTGAGTAAAGCGTTTATGGGAGTTAGGAGTCTTATTAAAAACACGGCTGTTAAAATAGTTTCTGTTTTTGTTCTGCTCATTGGTTTAAGCTGCAATTTCAACTTATGGTTTTTGACTGATACGGACCACACGTTGAGTTGCTCTCGACCAATCCGACAGCCTGCAGACCCTCAGAAAAGGATTTACTGACAAAAAGAAATTAATCAGATGTGAACACGGTCAACAGGAGAGATTTGTTTCTGTAGAAAAAAGAAGATCAAAAGCAGACATAAAACAAAGATAAACGCACAAAATGACAGGAAGGGATAGAAAACAATACGTAGTGCAAAACGAAATGGGAAAGACAAGGCAGCTGAGTTAAGAAATGTTGTGAAGTATAATTTAAATGCAATATGAATTATTATTGCAGAAAGTGGCACCAGAATGGAACTGGGACATTGCAAGTTGTAAGCGAAGTAAGTTGGACAGATTCTGAGCAGCTTCCTTTTGGACAGGATGTCCATCAGGATGTACCTGGTACACATTATTTAATTTCTCTTTTACATGCTATTAGCGCAGTTGCTGTCATTTTTTCCATCTTTTGATGATTTTCTATAGATATTAGCTGTTAAATTTCAATTCAATTCAGTTCATTTATACAGCGCCAAGTCACAAGAGAAGTCATCTCAGGGCACTGAACAGAAGCATACATAAAATAACCTATTAGTAAAAGTTATCTCAGGAAACCAGCAGATTGCGTTGTGTCTTCACTTCGTTGCAGTCTCCCATCCTGAGCAAGCACAATGGCAACAGTGGAAAGGAAAAACTCTCTTAACAGGAAGAAACCTCCAACAAATTTCCAGTACAAGCAGTACAGTCAGATATCTGACCATGTGGATTCAGCCTTAAGTCTCCAAGGAACATTGAGACACATTAATAAACTCCCTGTTTTCTGCCATTTACTTATTTTGTAATTCTGACTACTCTCTTTGGTTTTCCTCTTGTCTGCATGTTCTAGGCATGCCCGTCTGCTTGCTGTGCACTTGCCTCGGTGGTTCGGTCTACTGTGACGACATGAAGCTGGACGGTGTTCCACCTCTGCCAAAAGACACCACTCACTTCTACGCCCGCTACAACAAAATCACAAAGATCAACAAGTCCGACTTCGCCAACCTGAGTGCGTTTCCCATCTGAATGAAAATGCAGCGAAAACACAAAGCGCACACGTCGGTATCTCCATCCATCCATCCATTTTCTTTACCCGTTTATTCCATTTTGGGTCACGGGGGTCGCTGGTGCCCATGTCCAGCAATCACTGTGCGAGGGGCGGGGTACACCCTGGATGGGTCGCAAGTCCATCACAGGGCCACATGGAGACAAACGAGACAAACAATCATTCACTCTCTCACTCACACCTAGGGACAATTTAGAGTTACCAATCAGCCTAACATGCATGTTTTTGGTCTGTGGGAGGAAACCGGAGCACCCGGAGAAAACCCACGCATGCACGGAGAGAACATGCAAACTCCACCCAGAAAGGCCCCTGGACCGGGGTTTGAACCAGGGACCTTCTCACTGAGAGGCAGCAGCTCTACCAGTTGCGCCACCGTGCTGCCCGTCGGTATCTCAAAAAGCTGTTTTTTTCTTCCAGGCAAACTGAAGAGGATCGACCTGACTGCGAACGAGATCACGTCCATCGATGACGGAGCTTTCATGGGTCTACCTGAGCTGGAGGAGCTGATCGTCAGAGAAAATCACATTCGGCAGCTGCCGGCGCTCCCAGAGACCATGACGCTGATCGATGCCAGCCACAACGACGTTGACTCAAAGGGTATTCATAAAGAGGCCTTCAAAGTACGTACATTTCTTCAGGAACACCAGAACTTCTTTTGGACTGGGTGTTTGCTTCATTACTAAAAAGAGGCATAGTGTTTGAGTCTGTTCTCCCTCTTTCCATACAGGACATGACTGCGCTGTTGTACTTGTACCTAACAGACAACAACATCGACTACATCCCAGTGCCTTTACCAGACAGCCTGCGCTCTTTACATCTACAGGTAAATCCCCTTTAGATGCATGCCTTATCACTTACTTCCCTCTATACGCTCCAGGATTAAAGTTATTTTCAATTTTTTATTATTTTGCTGAACACTTTCCATCTATTGTGTTGCAGCGGAACAACATTCAGATGATGCACGAAGACACCTTCTGCAACCTGAATGACTTTAACTACATCCGGAACGCACTGGAGGACATCCGTCTGGATGGCAACCCCATCAATCTCAGCAAGACTCCGCAGGCGTACATCTGCCTGCCTCGTATACCCATCGGGAATCTCATTTAACCAACACAGACTTACACGTATTTGTACATACTGACACACAGACTTCAAATGGGCTCACTACTCAAACCAGATATCAGTGTCAACTTCCTGTCAACTCACGTTGCTACATAAATCTGTGTGTAAACTCTGGTTTTATTATCAACAAAACACCACCATTACAGCCGAGATCCTGACAACCATGCACATATGCACTGCTCTACCTTCTGCCTGATCTTCAGACGATTTGTCTCGAACACAGCAGCACACGTTAAAAAATATCAAAAGCAGACGCACGAGAAATCCCTCAAACTTCTCCGCAACGTGACGAGAAGTTCTCTGTGTTCAGTCTTTTTACAACTCGCATCTGAGAACCAACTGGTGACATACTGTTTAAATATGTTGTAAAAAAAATAATAAATGTTAAGATTAAAGACTAATCTAACACTTCTGACAATGTATACTAGAATAAATCTATTGAAGCTGGAGCTTTATGAAAGGTAAAAATGAATATCCAATACAATAAAAGACGCATTTAAACACAACTGTTGGTTGTACAGTTTGTACTGTAATATAAAAATATAAATATTCTGATGTTTTTCAAAGTCGTGCTTTTATCATGTACAATAGCCAACACCAAAAAGTCTAGTGCTGATAAATTAAAAACTACCGTTTGATTTGGGACAGGAGGTTGTTTTTGGTTGTGGATGGGGTTAAGAATAATGCTGAGCTTGCTTTGTGTAATCTGAATGGAATAAAAGTAAATAAAGTCCTGAAGACCTCTCCAATCTAGAGAAGGCTCAATGTTTTTATTGAGAACTTTTGGGGGTTTGATTTCTGTATTTGGATAAGAATTTAAAAGCTAATTATAAATATATATTTTAAAATACATTTTTGACCAAGTGTAAAGGTTAAGTAAACTGGAGTTGTGCCACTTTCATTAAAAGTTTTCTACAAGTTTTTCAAACAAATAAAGAAATCTCTCTTTTCTGTCTGCAGCATCTGAGTCCATCACATTGCCGTCTTTTTCTGTGGTCGTCTCAGTCCTTTCGTTTTGCGCAGACACTCTCTCCCATCTCGCTTTTTCTTTGTCCAGAGCCAGGCGCTCCCTGTGCAAAGCCTCTCTGTCCTTTTCGATCATCGACTTCTCCCTCTCCAGCACCGCCTTTTCTCTCTCCATCACCGCCCTCTCCCTCTCCATCACGGCATGTTCCCTCTCCAGCAAAGCACGTTCTCGGTCCAGAGTGCTGATCTCTCTGTCCAGCACCACCATCTCTTTTTGATCCAGCATCTGCTCCCTTTTAGTCATCTGCTGCTCACTCCCCGTCTCCACCTTTGGTATGACACGGTTTACCTCCTCACATCTTTCCAGCACCGTCTCATCCTCCTCATCCTCCCCGTCCTCATTTCCGTTTAGCGAAACCTCAATCTCTGGCTCACTAGCAACTAAATATGTAACAGAAGAGCCCTCCACACTTAAGACCCTTCTCTTTTTGGGCACCAAAGCAGGTAAGAAGTCACTATTGTTGCTACTGTGGGGAAGAGCCTCGAGGATGGGAGCCATGCCCTGCAGCCGATCCTCCATGGCGTCGTCCATCAGGGAAAAGTAAGGCCATACTTCAGGAAATACTTTCACACCCTCTGGAGGATACTTCAACTCCTGATGAGAAATAAATAGAACAATTAGTAAAATCAGCACTGAATGAAAATGTGTAGATGATCTAATAAGAAATCAGTACCTTATATTTTTTCTTCATGTTATCCCATTTTTTTGATGCTTGACGATGGGTCATCTTGAAATGTAACCCCATATGTTTCAGGATAGCTCTGAAAACATAATAATGTTATGATTTAACAAATACCTGGTTCACCATCTTCAACTTTGCAAAGAAAATACTATAGAAACTTGACTAATAAAATGCTATCAAGTGGCTTAAATAATATTATGAGCTAAACTATTCTATAGGCAAGACAACAGGGATGACAGGCTTTGATGTAAAAATTGTAAAAAATACAGTGTATTTTCACAGTTTGAGTGAGATCCATTCACTCAAAGTGAATCTATACATCCATGTGACAAAATTATAACCTAAAATAATGTTACACTTGTTAAGCAGCAGTTTTACATACCTCCACGCCCACTTTGAGCTATTTTTTCTTCCAGAGAAGAGATAACTATTTGAAATCCTCAATTTCACAAAGTCCTCAACTTCTTTTTTACTCACTGTCAAGGCAAAAGAAAATTTATATTGATGTTAAAAAAAAAATATATATATATATATATATATATATAACACAATATTCATCATATGTCAAATAAACAATACTACAAAAAGTGTGTGCGTGTTTAAATATTTTACTACGTATTATAATATTATATATTATATTATAATTAAAAACAGTTATAATATTATCAGATGAGACTGGCTGGTTAAAAAAAAAAAAAGCAAGAACTACGTAACTTGCAATGACTTCGAATGCAGCATGACGCCATCTTGCTAACCTTAAATGAAGCGTTCTTGCTAGGATCCAATGCTAAGTGTTGTTAGCTTCATTAAAAATAAAAATAAAAATCCGTCTTTACTCACTTTTATAAGTGAACTCGGCGGGGTTGATTTGATCACACACGCCGTTCGTGTAGGAGTGATCTTTCTGTTCAGTTTCCATTATTCTATCCTAAATTATATGCCAGCCAAGCACCCTTGGTAGGAACAAACGGCTTAATCCTTCTTTCGAAGGTTCCTACATTCTTCTTCGTGGGTTTTTAAAAGATTCCAGTGAAAGGTGCATCTCTCTGTCGCAACCTAGCGTTTCGATTGTGAAATGACGGCATATATTTATTTATTATTTGTTTATGTCCACAGTCATGACACTTATAGAATTAAAACAGAAGCTACGATTAAAACATAAATTAAAAAGAAACAGTCGAGAGTTCAAATGTGTATTTTCTTTATTCAAACACTGAAATAGTTGCAGTTATGGTGTGTATTCACCGAATTTGAGTTAAAGCACAAGCGGGTGAAAAAATAATCAGTTTTTTAAAACATGTATTTGTCAGACAATAATTTTTAATTTCCATTTCTTTATAAAAGACCATCAATATAATATTGCATGTATTATCTGTCAAAATCCCCACAATTTTTCCTTTCTTTCCTACTTTGTTTTTTCATTGAGGTTTTGCAGCTTTTACACCTGTTGCCATTTTAGCCTTTAGCTACCATTGTGCAACCTTTAGTTTTTAGCCAATCTTCCACTACTTTTAGCACTTTGCTAGGCTTTTGCTGCTTTAGTCTTTGGCTATCTTTACTTAGCTTTTTACTCTTAGCTAGCCTCTAGTTTTAGCTAATCTTTTGCAACCTTTATATTGCATTTGGGTTTAGCTTCTTTAGCTGTTTTTTTTTTTTTTTTTGCAACTCTTTTGTTACATTTAGCTTTTACCTAGCCTTTTGCTACTTTTAGCATTTAGCTTCCATTGTGCTACTTTTAGTTTTTAGCTACTGTTCCACTTAGCCTTTAGTATTTTGTTAGCATTTGGCTAAATTTAGCTAGCTTTTGCTACTTTAAATTTTAGGTAGCCTTATGCTACTTTAAGCTGTATTTTTGCAACACTTTTGTTACATATAGCTATAGATAGCCTTTTGTGACTTATGACTTTTGCTACTATTTTGCTATTTTTAATTTTTATCTATGGTTCCACTACATTTAGCTTTTGTTAGCCTTTTGCTGCTTTTTCTAGTTAACCTTTATATTTTGCTCTCCCTTTTGCTTACATTTAGCTTTTAGCTAGCCTTTGCTACTTAACGTTTTGCTACTTTTAGATATTACTTTTATTTGAAAGCCTGCTTTTAGCATTAGCTTTTTGGCTTTTGCTTCTTTTAGCCTTAACAACTAAGTTTTACTTAGCTTCTTTAGCTGATTTAGTCCCTAAACAGAGATTGCACTGTGAGTTCACAATAAATCAATTTTTCTAGCAGTTTTGAAAGAATTAGGTCTCATTTGGATTGAATATGAATACTACTATTTTAGTTACATACCATAAACTAATAATAATAATAATAATAATAATAATAATAATACAGACTAATTTAAACTAGTGGCACAGCAATCTTTATTCGACCAATGGAAGCACAGATTATAAATATCAGGAGGCGTTTTTCTTTCCTGCTATGTTTCATAAAGTCTGGCTGAGGAAAGTGAAAGTATTTCATAAAGCATCATGGCGTCAGCTCATGGTAAGTAGATGTAAATATAGTAAAGACTTGTATTTATATAACAGTAGTTTATGAAAGAATAATAATGGGTTTAATAATTAATTATTTAACCACGAATGCCAAATTGCCCTTATCCATGATTCTTTTTTAAACTTGTTTAACCTCATATTAAACAACTTTAAGTTACTTGACCACATCAAAACAGAGGGTTTTACATTATTGTGCAGTTTTAGACGGTAAATAAATTAATTCTCTGTCACAGATTTGTGAAAGTTTGTGGTTACTTTTAGTTTCGTTTTCCTGTGAAGCCAGTTCAGAGAGGAAAAACACATTAACTGGGTACTTATTATTCAATTATGCTAACTTTTATTATGTCATGTATAAAGTTAAATGTATAAAACACTGTCGGAATTTAATCGTGTTTTATTGATCACTTTTTAAAACTGGACATTCTAGTTTACGCTAAATGCACAAACTCACCAGCAGGGGGCAGCAAAGACAAATTCGAGCAGCAAGTATCATAAATTAATGTGATCACAAGTAAATTTAAATTGTTTGGTTTTTTAAGGAAATGTTAGGCATATGATTAGACCAAGAATGGTAATATAACACAAAATATGTAAATAGTAAAAAAAAAAAAAAGTAAAAGCACCACAACAAAAAAAATGCAGCTTTGCTAAATAAGAACCATGCCTGCTTATTTTAGGAATATTTTAGAGCATTGATTTATTGGCACAAAGAATGTACAGAAAACTATTAAACAGTTACAATTTTACTATTACACAAAAGTATGTGAAAATCTAATAATTTTACATTGAGACCATGTGATCAAAAGAAGTAAAATTGCATTTTGTTACAAAGGTGTTGTTTTTTAATAAACCCAGTCTGCAGGTATTTACTTATAAAGGTAATAATCATTTAGTTTCAAAGTCTATGCCCTTTCAGTTTTCTTAAATCCAATAAATTCTTAAAACTATCTACATTGTCTGGCAGAGGTTGTAAAAATATGTGATATTTTCAATGTTTTTCCAGAGTCAGACGAGGAAACCTGTTCAGAAAATGAATCTGAGGCCTCTGCAGAAAGTGACAGTGACCAGCCGTCAGATGTAGAGAGTGACTGTCAGGTTGTTTTCCCAGTGCAAAAACATATTAACCCATTAAAAAAAATCACATAATACTTCCCAAAATGTTGTTTTTATTCTTAGTTATTTGTCTTGAAATGTATTGCTTTTTTTTTCCCCCATTATATAATCCATTCTAATAATGTATATATTTTTTATTTTTTAAGGTTTATGCAAAGCAGCCCTGCAAATATTACAACAAAGATGGTTGTAAGAATGGCAGCAGCTGCACCTATTTGCATGTCTGCAAATATTTTCTGACAGGAAACTGCAAATATGAGTCACACTGTAAACTAAATCACAGCGTGGATAGAAGAGCAGCATCTGGGGGGAGCAGGACTCAGGACGGATCAGCAAAGAACAGTAAGGAGTTGTCGGAATAACTCTTAATTTATTAGGAGAACTCAATTCCAGTATTTATTGTAATACCTACCGCTGAGCTGTAAATGCTAAATTATTTGTGTCATGGCCGGAGTATTTTATACCTGCTTTACTTCAACTCAAAAAAGTTAAAACGTTTGTTTGTCGCAACAGATCCAAAGCTAACCGACGGTAGATTTTACCAGTGGCAGCTAAACGATGGAAGTGGCTGGAAGGACGTCACAAATGATCACATCATCGAGGCCCAGTACTCGCTGCCCCACACCAAAAGCATCAAACTGTACAACACACCGTACGGGTAAGAGCACACATTTATTACACTATGCTTGTTGTGTGAATGTTTATGAAGCATTCACACTATTGTGATCCATTTTTCTTCCGTACGTTTTTCTGCATCTTTCTTGTTTCACGATTTTTGTGCTATTTCAACAAATCATTTATCAAAACATTCAGCTTGTCCAGGACTTTTGCTATTGGTGCAACTTTAGCTTTTTAAAATATTTAACCTTTTCTGCCACTTTTTTCTTCAAAGAAAATGAATTGCACTCATTTTACCTCCTTCAGATCTTTAGATCTGTTTACAACCTTTTACTGCTCCTTTCACTTTTTGTTCTGCTTCAGCGTCTTTGTACAAATTTAAACTTTTTTTTTCAGCTAATTTCAGCTGTTTTGTGATCCTTTCACATCCTTTTTGCTAACCACAACATTTTTGTGCTTCTAACTTCTTTCTGCTAATTTCAGTTTGTTATGCTCCTTTATGCATTTCAGCTTTTTATGCTATTTCAGCTACTATTAGTTGTTTTATGCAAATTTTAGCTTTTTATGCTAATTCCACATTTTTTGCTCTCATTTAAACTTTTTTCAGAATAATTCAGCAAAAATGTGCTCTCGTCACTTCCTTCTGGCAGTTTAAGTTTCTTTCTGACTTTTCAGCTGTTTTTTTGTGTGTGTGCTTATTTCAGCTTTTTACAGATAATTTCCTTTTTTTTTGTGCTCATTTCTGTTTCTTTCAGCATAATTGGGCAAACATGTTCTTTCTGCTTTCACCTGCTAATTTATTCATGTTTTACATTTCAGCTATCATATTTAGATAATTTTAGCTGTTTTCAGTTAAATTCAAGTTTTCACTGGTCATTTTTGCTACTTTCAGCCTAATTAACTTTTTTCTGCTCATTTCAGCTTGTTATGCCCCTTTCAGCTTATTTATTCAAGTTTCAGCTTTTTATACTATTTAAGCTATTATTTAGCTGTTTTATGCTGTATTTACCTTTTTAACGCTAATTCCATATTTTTGCACTCATTTAAACTTTTTTCAGCCTAATTCAGCAAAAATGTACTCTCCACTTCATTTTGGTAACTTAAGTTTCTTTCTGCCTTTTTAGCTACTTTTCAGCTTTTTTTTTTTTGCTAATTTCAGCTTTTTAAAGATAATTTACACTTTTTTGTGTTCATTTCTGCTTCTCTCAGCCTAATTGGCATATTTGTGTTCTTTCTGCTTTCATCTGCTAATTTAAGCTTGTTTTACATTTTCAGCTAACTTTGTAGCATTTTTAGCTAATTTTAGCTGCTTTCAGATAAATTAATGTTTTCCATGATCATTTTTGCTACTTTCAGTCTAATTAACTTCTTTCTACAACTTTCATCTTGTTAGGCTCCTTTCTGATATTTTTGTTTTTCTTTTATTTCAGCTACTCTTTGGCTGTTTATGTAAATTTTAGCTTTTTCAGCTAATTCCACATTTGTTCAGCTCATTTCTGCTCTTTCTGCTTCCTTCTGGCAGTTTTAGGTTCTTTCTGACTTTTCAGCTACTTTTCAGCTTTTTTTTTGCTGCTAATATCTGCTTATTTAAACCTAATTCTGCAAATGTGTTATTTCTGCTTTCTTCTGCCAATTTAAGTTTGTTCTTCCATTTTAGCTACATTTCAGCTGTTTTTCAGCAAGTTCGTCTTCACACTGCATTTTAGCAGGAAATGCATTTTCTCTAGTTTAAGTATTTATCATGTGTGAATGTAGCCAAGAAGCAAAGTGAACTTCTTGTTTCTGCAGGGCTGTGAGTGTAGACTTTAAGAGGGTGAAGGTGTATGGAAGAAACCTGAGAGTGAGACGTTTGGATGATGGGAACACCGTCTGGTGCTGGTTCTGCACCCTGCGTCGCAAGTGGATCAAATATGGAGAGAAGGTAGATCTTCTCTCATCATCTTTAGAAGACCACAATGAACATTCTTAGATGTGTTTGTCAGTTTTGTTGTTGTTGTTCATCCGTTCTGGACAGGATCCAAAGGGCAACTCGAGCCCTGTGCAAAGCTCGGACATAGAGAGGAAGTTCCAGAGTAACCCAGCAAGCTCTTATACGTTCAACATCGGCCGTGAAGCCTTTGAGATTAGATTCCCAGGTGAGGATCTTTACACAGACTCTACAATATTAAATTAACTAAACTTAAGAATTAATCTCATTTGTTCGTTTTGTTGTCGTTGTTGTTTGTTTTGCTTTGTTGTTAGAAATGCAGCAGGTGGGTATGAAGAAAAAGAGGAGAGTCACACGACGACCACAGTTTAGACACCCATCAGCAAACAATGGGTTAGTTTGGATTTTTGACGGTTTATTTGTGTCCATAGTTCAAGTTGTGTGAGCTGTAGTGCCATAAAATAAATAAAAAATATAATTATTAATAAATAGGCCACAACTTTCTGTGAGCAGTTCTTGGATGCAGTCTGGAATATTTCATAAATGCCAAAGTGACTGCTGGTGGATGTCACAATCTTTGAGTTCTCAATTTTAAAAATAAATCAAAAACATATATACCAATGGGTTTGTTTTTAAATAAAATTAGATTTTAAATTGTAAAACTAACCTTTTTTGATGAGAATAACTGCTGGATGTAAACGGTAACCAACACACACATCCCGCCCCGAGCAATTTAGCTGAACAGCCCTTATTTAAGATATATGCTAAACAATAATAATATAATATAATAAGGTGTATTAAACAGCAGCCTGGACATGAGTCTGTTGTTTTGCAGATGGGTATGAATACAGCAGCTTAAAGGCAAGAAATCAGCAGCATAGATAATCAGCAGCACATAGTTGTGACATCGTGCATCTTTTTGTGCCTTCTTCTCTACTTATATAAAAAAAAAATCTCATTCATACGAGTCACCATTAACAATAAATAACTGATAACAATAGCCTTGTAACAATAAAACAGAACAGCAACGTTCAGGTTGTTTCAAAACTGAGATAAGATCATGGAAAATGTGGACTTGTGTGTGTTGTGACGCTAAGCTAACGTCAATTCTTTATCAAAGCTTCGTCTTTCTTCGTCTGAAAGCTGTCGTTTGTTGTGAACCGACTTCAGCGTTGTCGTTTCAGATCCTCTCAAACGATCCCGCCCGTGCAGAACTTGTCTTTGGGCCCACGGTGGCAGTTTGAAGGAGACGGCGGAACATGGCACGAGTTCAAACGCAGGGTAGGCCACGTGTGGCGTTACCGCTGAGGTCATCCTTCATTTGAATGCTCAAGGTGGTGAAGGTAAAACGAAACGTGTGGGATTGTTTTGGACAGAGCCACGCTTCGGCTGACGGCTCAGTAACCAGTGACGACATCGAGAGGAAGTACCAGACTAACCCCGACGGTGGCTTCAGCTTCAAAGTGAACGGACACTCCTACCAGCTGGACTTTAAAGGTTAGGTTTGTTAAACAGTGTGAGAAAACAAGTATTCAAATGGCTGCGGCGCGAGCGAGACATTCTTTAATTAACTTAACGTTAAACGTGTTGTTTGTTGCAGCTATGATCCAGACCAACCTCAAAACCAAACGTACTCGTAAGATCAGGCGCATGTAGCGTTCGAGCTCTGCTTCAAGAAGACGGAGGGCCGTGCAATGCTTCATTTAACAGTTTACGTCAAACATTAAGAGTTGTCGCCGTACGGCTCATGTTGTGTTTACATTAGAATTCAATTCAGTTTGTTTGTATAGCGCCAAATCGCAACGGAAGTCGTCTCAGGGCACCGAACAGAAACGTTCACATACATATTCTTTGAGTTTTCACTTCATCGCAGTCTCCCATCCTAAGGGAGCACATGAGGCGACAGCGGGAAGGAAAAACTCCCTCGTGAGGAAGAAACCTTTAGCAGAACCAGGCTCAGGACAAGCGGCCATCTGCTTCGACCGGCTGGGTTTGAGAGGACAGGAAGGAGGAACGGATACACAATGGCAGGTCCAGGATGGAGGCCATCAGATTTTCTCTAGGAGGAAAGACAAAAAGACAGAAATCACATGTTAAGAAAGAATAATTACAAATACATCCTACTCATTTGTATGTATTTGTAATTATTAATTTGATGAAATGAGGTTGATTTGTCTTTTAGTAGCTATAGCAGCTAACTATAGGATTTATCAAAAAGGAAAGTCTTAATCCCAGTCTTAAAACTGGACAATGTGCCAGCCTCATGGACAGAAACTGGAAGTTGGTTCCACAAGAGAGGAGCCTGATAACTGAAAGATCTTCCTCCCATTCTGCTTTTGGAAACTCTAGGAACCACAAGTAAGCCTGCAGTCTGAGAGTGAAGTGCTCTGTTAGGAAAATATGGAACAATAAGTTCTGTAATATAAGATGGAGCTAGGTTGTTGAGGGCTTTGTAGGTTAGAAGTAAGATTTAGAATTCAATTCTGGATTTGACAGGGAGCCAATGGAGAGAAGCTAAAACTGGAGATATGATCTCTCCTACTAACTCCAGTTAAGACTCTGGCAGCAGCATTTTGGATTAACTGGAGATGTTTTAAAGAAATATTTGGACACCCAGTTAACAAACCATTAAAATTGTCCAGTCTAGACGTGACAAATGCATGAACCAGTTTGTCTGCATCATTTTTAGAGAAGATGTTTCTAATGTTAGTGATATTACTCAGGTGGAAGAAGGAGGTTCTAGTAACAATGTGGGGGTTAAAAGGGGAAACCTGCCTGGCAACTTTGACCGACATGAACAGTTCCAGCTTGTCTTTAATGAAATCGTTGTTTGAATCAGGTGCTGTTCAGTAAAACCATCATGATTTCAGTTTGTTTACTTTTACATGCAAATACTCCTGTTTTTACTGCCAAACTCATGAATATAATAAGTGAGCATTTGCAAATTTAAACGCATTTTTCTGACGTAATAAAATGAAATAATAGATTTGATTACTGCTGATGTCAAACCTGGTTTGCACATTATATACAAGTCTTTTTTATTTTTTAAACTTCAAGGTATTAAATGCCATATATGTTCGGTGCAACAGAACTCTTAATGCTTCTTATGTTGATGGTTGAAAATAAAATTTTTAATAAAATTATATGCAGTGTCTGGATTTATTTGTACTCTGTTAAAAATATATATATATTTTCTTTTAATTTGAAACATCTTGTATTTACCTGACCGGTTCCAGCAACACACAATACTTTTAGACAATCAATGCTCAGCTTTTTAGTATCCAAACACTAAAAAACACATTCATCACATCAGTTTTGATGAGGGGAAAAAAAAATACACTTTTTATTTACATTAACAAGAAATAATATTTGGGTTTTCAGCTACAATACATTAAAAATAGCGCCTACATTTTACTACCATATTTGTCAATCTATAAGGCGCACTTCAAATCCTTTAATGTTCTCAAAAATCGACAGTGAGCCTTATAATCCGGTGCCTTATAGTTCGAAAAATACGGTAATCAGTCTGAGATAGATAAGGAGATAACCCCGGCTGAGGGAAGTATGGGTGCAGAGGGTGCTGCAGCCTCCTTTGATAGATGCCAATGGACACGTCTAAGTATACAATTATAGACTTGAAAGAAAATGAAATTAATCAGCAGTATGTTTAAATCCCAATATTTTGATATGAAGGATTTTTGTTATTCTGATTGTATAAGCAACATTTTACAACCAACGAGTGCACCAATTAGCTTTAGGTCATGATTTATAAATATTTATGTCCAAACCGCACAAACATTGAACCACTATTGTCCATTTCACATCATATATATGTTGTGATAAGATCCTTTATTCGAGTGTTTAAAATTCCCATCTGCTCACAGGACACCATGACTGGTTATGAGGAAAAACATAAAGATGTATTATTACTTTAAATGCAAATTTAGCTTTTTTTTCTAAATACAAAATCGATAGTGGTGAGCTTGGAATACAAATTTATAAGTAGAAGTGTCATTTGTTATGTCTTTAATGTTCATTTTTGTAAAATGATCAACTTGACAAGGAGTTGTAGCTTAAAAGTGATTATTATATGTTAGAAGGGCCTGCCATACAGTAAAACCCACCCTTTGATTCCTGTTATGAACAGACAGAAATGAAAGTGAAACTTCAGTCAAAGAAGAACAAGTTACCTCACTGGTATTAGAACAAGTAAGTGAGCCAAACTGTTTTCTCTTTAATAACATCCTAATTTATGGATATTTCACTTCATATTTATTAATCTGCTTGTTGGTTGCAGTGTATTCCCCTCAGATGTTGGTAAGTCTGACTCAAACACATTCAGAAAGCTGTCAGCTGAAAGTGATCTGGGTGTTTGTGTTGGTTCCCTGCAGGCAAACGAAGAGGAGAGCAGCTTTGTTCACAACACGGCAGGTCTGTATAATTATAATATAAAAGTTCAGAGTGGAATAAAGTGTTACATAATGTTATATTTACCAGTCAGGAAGCATTATGAGTGGCAGCTGCGTTCTGGGACTCAGTGGCTGCGGGTTGACAATGATCATGTGATTGAGAGTCATTACTGCCAACCTGGAGCAAAAGGCATCACCATAAACACCAGCCAAGGGTCAGGGAGTCCTTTTATCTTCAGCAGGGCAAGAATCAGGACTGAGGTGCATCAACTCATGTCCTGTGTGTGTTTCCAGGCAGGTGTTTATAGACTTTGATAAGCTGCAGATTAATAATCCAGCTCTCAGAGTGCAGAGACTGAGCCTCCTCCCTCAGGGCCTGACGGAGGACGTGGGCTGGTACTACAGAGACGACTGCTTGTGGCATGAATATGGAGCTCAGGTTAGAGTCGAAGCGTTAAGTCGATTTGTTTGTCGGTGTTCTCAGGCTCTGAAGTGTCCATCTTCCTCAGAGCTCCAGCAGGTCAGCGTCGTCCGTCAGCAGCAGAGACGTTGAGGGTCACTTCGCTCTGAACCCTCGGGGAAGCCTTCACTTCACAGTGGGCTCTGCAGGATACTCACTGGATTTTTCCTGTGTGTTTATACGAGGAGTTTTATCATTATGAGCGTTTTTATAGTTAAATGTGACTGATTTGGTTTTGTTTTGCAGCCATGACCCAAACGAATCTCGCCACAGGCTTGTGCAGAAACGTACGCAGGCGTCCAAAGTTCACGTCCGACTCCGCAGGGTGAGACTGTTGTTGTTCATCCTGGGATTTCTCTACATGCATGATGATCACTTTGTGTTTCTGCAGACTTTACTCGTCCTCCCCGGCCCAGCTGTCTGACCAGAGCTTTAAGTGGGAGTTCATGGGAGACGAGGGACAATGGACAGAGTACCAGGCACGTGTAAGTACCACAACAGCAGCATGTTTATTATTCCTTCAATGCTTGGTCTTTAATTGCGTCACTATTATGATCCATTTGTCGTCCATTTTTTTTTCCGGATCGATTCTCTTCCTGCAGTTTTCAAGCTATTTCAACAAATCAAAACATTCAGCACATGCTATGACTTTTGGTATTGGTGCAACTTTAGCTTTTTTGAAATATTTAACCTTTTCTGACATTTTTTTTTCCTCATAGAAAATGAACTAAGCTCATTTTACATCCTTCATATCTCTAGATCTGTTTACAGTTTTTTACTGCCCCTTTCACATTTTGTTCTGGTTCAGCTTCTTTCAGCTTCTTTGTGCAAATTTAAACTTTTTATCAGCTAATTTCAGATGTTTTTTCAGCTGTTTTGTGCCCCTTTCAGCTTCTTTCTGCTGACATTTGTGTGCTTCTTCAAAACTTCTTTCTGCCAATTGCAGCTTTTTATGCTCCTTTCAGCACATGTTTACAAGTGTCAGCTTTGTCTGATATTTCTGCTTCTATTTAGCTCTTTTTATACGAATTTTACCCTTTTCAGCTAAATCCACATTTTTTGCACTTATTTCAACTTTTTTCAGCCTAATTCAGGAAAAATGTGCTCTGTCCACTTCCTTTTTGTAATTTAAGCTTCTTTCTGCTTTTTAAGCTACTTTTCAACTGTTTTTTTTTTTTTGTTGTTGTTGTTGTTGTTGCTAATTTCAATTTTTTTCAGATAATTTCCACTTTTTTGCTCATTTCAGCTTTTTTCAGTGGGCAAACATGCTCTTTCTGCTTTCATTTGCTATTTTAAATTTGTTCTACGTTTTCAGTTACTTTTTTTTTTTAGCTATTTTCGGCTGTTTTAAGATTAAAACATTTTTCATGGTAATTTCTGTTACTTTAAGCCTAATTAACCTTTTTCTGCTAATTTCAGCTTGTTATGCTCCTTAAGCTTAGTTATGCTAGTTTCTGCTATTTCATGCGCTATTTAGCTGTTTTTATGCTAATGTTAGCTTTTCAACTAATTTCACAGTTTTAGTTCATTTCAGCGCTTTCCGCTTCCTTCTGGTAGTTTAAGCTTTTTTTCTGCCTTTCAGCTACTTTTCAGCTTTTTTTTGGGGGGGGGGGGGTGCTAATTTCAGCTTTTTTAAAATCATTTCCTAATTTTTCAGCAAATTTCTGATTATTTAAACCTATTTCAGCAAATATATGTTCTTTCTGCTTTCTTCTGCTAATTTAGGTTTGTTCATCCATTTCAGCTACATTTCAGCACTTTTTTTAGCTACTTTCAGCTCTTTCTCAGCAAGTTCACATTGCATTTTCACAGGAAATGCATTTTCTCTCTGTTTTCGGTTTAGGTTGATGTGTGTGTATTTCTGTGTAAACAGCTTATTTTCGCCTGTGTATGCAGACATGTTCATTCGACAGCGCTGCCATTGAGAGAGATTACCAGCAGAACCAACAGGGCCAGCTGCACTTCAGGATCAACAGATTCTCATACACGCTGGATTTGTCAAGTAATGCACACATGCTGAACAAACACAAAACTCTTACCTGTTCAGCCTGCCGAGGATTAGATTAAAACTTGTTTTTATCAAAGGTATGTGTCAAATCAATAACGAAATTGGGACGACGAGAGCTGTGAGGAGGACTCCAGACAGCGGGATACTACAAAACATCAGGTATAGAGCTCTAATGTTTCTGTTCTTTTTAATCTCAGCTTCACAACAAATCTGCGTTGATGTTTTGTCATTTAAATATAAAACCCCCTTTTGTTTCCAGTTCAGGCCCTAGATGGCAGTTCCTAGATGTGGACGGGACGTGGAACGATTACACCAAAGTAAGCTACGAGTTTCACGTCCAGTGGAGCCACTCGCTTGATTTAAAGTCCAGGTTTTGTCCAGTGGTCCTACTGTGACAGGATCTAAGGGTTCCTCCGATGTGTTGCAGGGGCGCCGTCTGTGCAGCGTTTCCAGTTCTGACATTGAGCTCGAGTACCAGCAGAACTCGTCGGGCTCCGTGACGTTCACCACCAAACGGTTCAGCTATGAGCTCGACTTCCCATGTGAGAGCAAAACGAAACGCAGGATTTTGTTCTCAATTTTCTAAACCTGATTTGAATCGTGCGTCTCTTCGTAGCTTGGACTCAGAGGAACCTGTCCACCAACACCTCCAGACCCGTGAGACGACTCGTCCAGTGAGCGGGACTCGATGCCTCTCAGTCCGATGTTGCACTTTTTTCACCCGATGCCTCACATCATCGGTTAAAAATGTTTACAAAACAGCTGTTTTATCCTCTAACTACAAATTAGGCCACTAATAGATTTTAAATCACTTTAAATGTTTAAGCTGAGGCGTTTTCTTCTTACTTCGTTATGAGTGTGTAATTGATACAGCGCCGTTACAAACTTCTAAACCAGATGTTTACAATTCATGCCAAAGATCATGTTATGATGAGATATGAGTTGCCATGTTTGTCAAAATGTTATGTGTATTTTTATGCAGTATTGCAGGATGTCACCCTCGGAGCATATGTTGTGAATGACTCTCAGCTACTACTACACCAAATTCCAGCTCAATATTTGTAAAATTCATTGAGCAATTTTTTTTTTTTGTACCAACACAGACACGAGCAAAAACATCGCTCCTATAATCAGAGCTTTAAAAAGAAGCATAGAACATTTTAGAGACCCGAAGAACAGACAAAAACACGCCGAGACAAAAACTAAATAATAAACAAAAACTTCAAGTAGACTAAAAATAATCTATTAAAATAGGAGAAGCCAATAAAATAAAAATTTGCAGAAACAATTGAGGCGATAATTACCTGCTTGCAATAAAACTTTTGTTTATGCTTGATTTTAAATTTTTTGAGCCTTTGAAAAGGTTGTGCTCAGCATCTTATTAAATAAATAATTATCTCTATAATTAAGTTTAAATTACAAACTAAAATGCTGTTTCAGGATTCGGTAAATCCGAGGGAAAACGCATCCACACGACATAAAATCAAACAAGCATGTTGTTTTATTTGTCCTTAATAAGTTTGGAAGTGCTTACCGTATTTTCCGGCATATAAGTCACAGTTTTTTTGTATAGAGCTGTCAGCTGCGACTTATATACTTTTTTCATATTCAAAACGCCATTTTTGACTGACACTATAAATTTCGAAGAACTGCAACAGCGAGTCCTCCCGTGCGCACTCGCTTCACTAAGCTGGTGCAGGCGGAAGGATACGACGGAGCTTTAGGGCCATGCTAAGAAAAAAAAAAATTAAGTCATAAAATTATGAGAATAAAGTCGTACGAGACATTTTTTTTCTTAAACAGCTCTTGTTTATTATAAAAAAAATGTTTCCACGAGTCAGATCCACAATGTGACCTGTCAATCAATCCAGTGGGCGTGTCAGCAAATGACCAATCCGAAGCTAAATGCTCCTGTAAGTGAGTCACTGGGTCTCTTCAGCCTCTTTCTGGCATACTTATTGAAGACCTCTAACAGCGCTGCACGTACACAGTTTCCCTCACTGAGCGCCGTTTTCAAACGGAAACAAAAACAAAAGTCATGACGTAATGACATCACGTTATGCATTCCAGAAGCAGCATACAAAAACACAACAGTAGGTGGCAGTATTGGGACACGTTTTGAGGTAGAGCGTCACAATAAAGTTTAACAAACATTCATTTTACCACAGTTAAAATGCAGTAAACCTGCTTTATCGTGTCCGAGTTCGTATAATATTACGACTCATTTAGCTTCGGATGGGTCATTTGCTGACACGCCTACTGGATTGATTGACAGGTCGCCCCGTGGATCAGACGTGTGGGGGGGAAAAAATTAAAATCTTGCATGACTTTATTCTCGTAATTTTATGTTGTTAAAAAAAAAAAATTGCGTGGCCCCAGTGGTTAATTTGAGCCGGATCCTGCCGGAACAAGATTCGAGAACTCCCTCATCCTGACCGACTGTGTAACCGTTTGGCTGGATCCGGCAAATCTCCGCCCCTAAAAGTCAGGAGGAGACATTGCCCAGTCTGTGGAGTGGATGTTCCAGCTGCACTACGCACACCAGCTAGCGCACATGCACCTGCCAGCTGGGTGAAGCTGCCGGTGGGGTGTCAGCTTCACGCAGCTGCTCCAGCAAAGCAGAGATGTGGACCGCATGTCCAGCGGGGAGCGTCTTCATGCTTCAGCTGTGCGCCCTGCAGACAGTGCAGCACAGGAGCATCTCCAGACAGCTCTCCAGACAGCTCTCCAGACAGCTCTCCAGAGCGCGCACAGCTGCTGATGTGTAGGAACTCCTGTACATAGACATATACACACAGCTGAAGGTGGATGAAGACGCTCCCCGCGGGACACGCGGTCTGCGTCTCTGCTGGGCAGGAGCGTGGTGCGCGCTCTGCAGCTGGAACATCCACTCCACAGATTGGGCAACGTCTCCTCTCGTATTTTTTTATAAATAATCAAATTTAAAATGCGCGATGACTTTGGACTTTTAGG